TTTTCCTCCCTCCCCTTTATAGACGTAAATAACTTTTTAATTTAAATACTACTAAAATGTGGTTTTCAGGACATAACTAAATTTCTTAAAAATTGTATTAACTGACCTCCTAAATAATGAGAGACCCCTTGGGTTTTAGAAAACCAATATGGATATTACTGATCTAAAAATATAATAGAAATTGGTTTGATATGTCCTGTGGAATTATTTCAGGTCTACCTCCATGTTTTTGATCTATCAATATTTGTATCTTTCCAGACACTATTTGCAGATGTCTAGCCTTCTCTTTTGATCTGATATTCATTTATTCAACAAATACTTATTGAGCATTTGCCATACTACTGTCCTAGCTTCCAAATGATCAGCAAGACAGACATATCTCCTGACTTCACAGCGCAGTAGAGTCTAACAAAGAACCCAGTATGAACATAGGTTCTATATAACAGTGATTTTTTTTCTATGTTGTTTTCCCCAAAAACTCCGGACAATGTAAATATTAACTTAATGTTAAGTCAATAAATATTTAACACTAATTATGAAGGAAGGAAAAATGCAGCTATTGTAGAATCTAAATAGGGGAACTTAACCTACACTGTGGGCTCATACAGAATTAGTTCTCTAGCTGATAGAATTGTCCCTTTAAAGTGGTTTCTGTGGGATCTGTTAAACTATCAATAACTACTTCCTATTAGACCACCCTCCTACTGTGCATGGATGTTTGAACCACTTGAATTTTTCAGTACTGATTTCCATAAATGAGAAGTTAGATGAATTACCTAATAAAAGCATATGTTTCTAAAAATAAAAGAAACATCAGTTTACCAGTGCTTTATATTTCTTGCTTCTTGCCTGCCACTTTCCCACCCCACTTTCTTTTCTAACTTGCAGATGAAGGAGCTTCCATGCACCCTTGTGATGATACCTACTGTGGACCTTTTCCAGAATCTGAGCCGGAAGTGAAAGCTGTAGCTAACTTCCTTCGAAAACACAGGAAGCACATTAAGGCTTACCTCTCCTTTCACGCCTATGCTCAGATGTTGCTGTACCCCTATTCTTACAAATATGCCACAATCCCCAATTTTAGTTGTGTGGTAAGTGTTTGATCATGTACGTCTGTGTCAGGCTTTGATAAGATTATCCTAACGAGTAATGATAAGCAAACACTGTTCAAATAAGTGTTTTATATACATTAACTTTTTCATAACCATTTGTAGTGACTTATTTTCTCTAGTTTAAAGGTAAACAAACAGAGAAATTAAGAAATTAGTGTATCACAGTCAGGACTTAGTCCCAAATCCGGCACCAGCACTGTTTCTCTCAACCTTTGTGCTTATATTGCTTCTCATTCAACAATTTCAAAACTATTTACATTCTTATCCCAAGTTATACTGAAAATGTCAGGATAAATTAGTATTACTGCTCCAGTCAGTACAAATGAAAAATAGTAATTAACTTTATTGGGTAAATAATTGTTCATAAATTATTCTCTGATTCTAATTAATTAAAAGCAAGTTTAATTTTGAGATACTGTTTACTTACTGGTACTAAGTCTCTGGTTATAAAACTGCCAAGTTATCTGCTAACAGCAAACCACCTTTAATGTACAAGATTACTTGAAAGTGGAGAAAAAAAGAGTTCCTTCTCTTCATCTCAGAACCTATGGGACATAGTTCCTCATAAAGTGGGTCTATTTCAAAACCTACAAAACCTAAGAGCTATGAAATTGAACAATAGGCCAAACTAATATAAAGTGTTCAAAGTAGAGAAGAGTGAGAAGAAGCAACTGGACAGAGGCACTGACTTCTGGGTTGCTGTTAATGTTCTATTTCTTGACCTGGGTGGTTATTACATGTTATATGCAATCTATGATCATTCATTGAGCTATAAACTAAATTTATCTAGTCTTCTGGATGTACATTGTACTTGAATTTAAAAGGTTTTAAAAAAGAGAGGCCTCCTCTTTCTCCCTACACCTTGAGTTCAAGACCTGCACCAGTTGTTTTGGGTCACAGGAATTCCTGATCTAGATGTCCAAGAATAGGCAGAAATGGGGAACAATGGGCATGTCTGAAGGAAGCCTGGAAGGCTTATATTCTAGTCCAAGAGGATTTCAAGTAGCAATTTTGAGCAAATTCTCTTGGGAAATATTATAAAAGTTATAATTATATTTGATAGGCCATTTCTTTGGTACTCTGTAGGTCAAAAGGGTTTTGGGTTTTTTTTGTTTTTGTTTTTTGTCTTTTGTTGACCTAATGCCCTAACCACATTATATCACATATCTACATATCTGTATAGACAAATGTTACTTGAAAGAGGGAAAACAGCTCCATTTTCTCTTTCTAAGTTAAGCATAGTGTCTATTTATATTCTCACAACAGAAGATATGGAGTATGAAATATATTAAAAGTATTACATGAAAAATGTTTTCTATATTTTGAATTTATCTAGCCACCCAGAATTAAGCCTCTTTTCCTTTTATCTTGGATTGAAGAATGTGGAATAGAAGTAATTCAGTGCCTCACAATCATGAATAAGCCCGTCTACCAAAGGACATTTGACAATGTCTGGGGATACGTTGGATTTTCGCCATAGGGGAAGGAGATGCTATTGGCAGTGGATAGAGGTCAAGGGTGCAATGTTCCACAATGCACAGGACAGTTCCCATAGCAAAAAATTATTCAGCCCAAACTGTCGGTAGTGCCACTCTTGATAAATCTTGTAGTAGGTTAAGCATAAGTTAACTCACTAAAACCAAGATTACACTTCTGAGGAACTAGGTAATCTTTGAATTTAAATTCTGTTAAATTGTTCAAAAATATTTTATCAACATCTAGGAGTCTGTGTTTCTGATAACATTTTTAGGTATTAAGCTACTTTAAGTATTGAAATATTTAAATAAAGAAAATATACTCCTTTCTTAGATTAGATAAAGTTCAATAAGTGAGGCCTGGGTCTTTTGGACAATTTGGGAAAAAGAAAGCAATGGAGAAAAGAAGGATTGTGTCACCTCTCTCAAACAGGTGTCTAGCCATGCCACTCTAAAAAATTGTGTTTATCAAAGAGGATGTGTCTCTACTTTTTATGGACCTGCACCTAAGAGGCATAAGTGCAGTGAATTTAAAGTTTTTGCAGACAGGATAGTTATCTCTTTTGTTAGATTTTCCCCCAATCTGAATAAATGTTCAGTTCTCCTCACTAGCAGAATGTAGTAATCTTCTAAATGTAGAACTATGTGCCCTTGCCATGGGATACTGCTGAGACCATTGGAATAGCTGTTAAAATCTTAGAACATTCTCCATTAAAAAAAAAAAAAAAACCACCTCATTATGGTGTTTGTGTTCCTTTTCTGTTGGCTCCTGGGAGAAGAATGTCATCATCAGTGATGTCAATAATAAATAATCTGCCAGGTTCTGGAAACTGGTCTCTGAATATCCACAAAGTGTGGCACTTGCAGTAGCTGCAGCTACTGCATTGTGTATCCTGAGGTCAGTGAGGACAGCTAACTTAAGCTCAAACAACACATAGCACCATGTTGCTCAGAGTGCTTTAGCTGACATATTAAATTATTCATAGGCAAATTGAAATGGGAGACTTGTATGCTGGTTTCAAAATACGTTTTTTCCTCTCCATTGTCATACAATCCACTTCCATAGCTCCTAGATGAAATAGTATTTTTATTTTAAATGTTTTCAATGGTACTCACTATCACTGTAGTCTATGTTAGAATATTCACCTATTTTGATTGTGTTGAGTGTTTTTTCCTAATTTTTGGCATCAGTAGAAGGAAGAGCTCTACCTCATAATCTCTGTATCTTAACAGTACCTTGCTGAGAACTGTCAGAGGCATATGTAACCTCAGAAGTCATGAAGCACTCTCAAATTGTTGCCCTTGTTTCCAGTGCTTGAACACATACAATGAGAAGTCATTCTTACAGAATTAGTCTTTCTTAATTGATCCAAATGTATTTTAATTATCTTTCACATATCCATTGATTATGTACTTACAGATCAGTAAGATTATCTTGATGCTCTCACAGATATGTTTATTGAACATTCATGCAAGAAATAGTGATTAAACATCTATTATATATAGCCACATTGACAAATTCTGGGCATGTTGCTATGAATAATACTGACATGGTCCCTAGCTTGTCTAAACTAAAGTGTAGAATGCTTTAATTCAGTTAAAATCTTAGAACATTCTCCATAAAAAAAATACCTCATATGGCTCCTCCTAGGAGCCAACAGAAAAGGAACACAAACACCATAATGAGGTATTTTTTATGGAGAATGTTCTAAGATTTTAACAGCTATTCCAATGGTCTCAGCAGTATCCCATGGCAAAATCGGAATGCTAAATCAGCACTAGAAGATATGTGTACTTATTCCAACTCAACCATTCCTGCTATAACCCCATTTAAATTGATTGAGCCTCTCTTTTCTCATCTATAAAATGGAAATATCACTTATCACTGGTTTGTTTTGATGTTCATTCCAGTGAAATATATTATACAATGCAATGAAATGCAGCATGTGATATAAGAGTAATAGAACTATTAAATATAGTTATTAACCAATGCGCCTGTCTTTTAATTGATGACTAGTAAGAACCAAACAACATGCTGATGTTTCTGAAAGTTTCAGTGCAACAATATAAGTGATGCTGTTTTCCCATTTTCCTTCACAGGAAACTGCAGCTTATAAAGCTGTGAATGCACTTCGGTCAGTATATGGGGTACGGTACAGATATGGACCTGCCTCTAGCACGTTATGTAAGTTTCCTGTGTATGTTATGTTATGAAATCATCTCTTGAACCAATATCTTGTATAATGACTTCCCCTTTAAAAAGATAAAGTGTGTTTCCTCATAAGTGAAATTTTTGACTACTAAATTAGGCAAGGAAGATGGAGGGCTTTTATATCTAAATAGTTCCATACTGCCTGACAGAAATCACTGTACCAATTTAAATAAATTGTAAGCAGAGAATATTCTCAGCACATAGTAATCACTACAAAATTGAATTGAGAGCTTATGACAGCAGAAAGCACCAAAATGGGCAACTTGAGCAATTGTAACTACCATGAGGGTGGAAATGGGCCTTGAGAAGATAATGAAGTAATGTTTCAGCCCTAAAAGAGCTTCCCTTTTATTCCTTTCCTCCACCATTCTTGTGTAAGAAACACGATTTCATAACACTTTCAGCTGAATTTTCCCTAAAAAGAGGATTAAAATATTTTACATAATGGGAAATGAAGTTAGGCAACTAGGTATATGAAAGAATTTGAACACCTCCCCACACACACACACATACAAATCACCAGTCATGAACTCTAGCCCTAAGAACTGACTCTACTCAGTTCTGCCTCTAATCCTGACCAAGATATTAATGCTAGGATTCAGCTTCCATAACAATTGAACAATTGGACTAGATTTCTGATAACCTTTCTATTTCTGTACGGTTGGAAAATCTAGTAAGAAATTTTAAGTATCTGAATGTCTATGTATGCTTATCAAGGTGTGTGTGTGTATATATATATATATGTATATATATATACACATACACATATATACATGTTATGTATATATATTCAATTATACTTTTTCAGCATTTACTAATTACTATATTCTTAAACACTTTCTTCACCCTTCAGAAGAAGAGTTTTCAATTAGAACTGTTTATCAAATAAGTTTATCCAGATAGTGAGATGGTTATATGTATCAACATTGCTTTCAAAGATCATAATCATTTCTACCATGCTGAACTTTTTAGAACTGTCTTTCAGTTCTGAAAAGAGAGCTAGGAGAAATAGAGTATGTTTAAAGGAGAAGACTGTTTAAAAATCTTAACAATTACCAACATAATATATTTTAACACTTTTAAGACATTAACTTTTTAGAATCTTACAGTTTACCTTTCAGTTTAACATTAAGGCACATAGTAGTATATTTACCATACAATCAATCATCATAGAAATGAGATTGTCATATCACCATGGTGGAACTTAGTGCATACTGTCCTTAACTCTGCTACTATGACAACTATTTGTAGTCCCAGAGTACTTTAACCCAGAGGGATAATGAAGCTACCGCCTACATTCTGTCCTCCATTGAAGCAAGGGTAGCTTAAGAAAGACAGTGGCTTGCTTGTCATCCTCACATAATAATACTATCTCTTAGTTATCCTGGTAAAAATGCAGGAAAAGTATATTATTTAAGTAGATGAAAATGTGCTGAATAATTTTAAAATAGCAATCAATAGTGTTAGCTCAAGCTGCATCACATAAATTTCAAGGAAAAAAGCATAAAGATTCTCCTATTAAATATTTATTCATTAAGTAATTATTAAAACCATACCAAAAACTAACAGTCACTCTGAAGCAAAATAATGTAAAGAAACTAAGGCACAGAGAAATTGCAACAGATAGAGGGATGAGATATAGCCCCAAAGAGTGCACAATCTCCCTCTAATGCCCACATTTTCAACTCTGTGCTCAAAAGTTAGAGTGTGAGAGGTCATGGGAGTAAAAGGAAAGAGTTAACAAAATGGATTGTCTGTTCGGTTAAATGTTTTTAAGAGGCTGGAAGTGGGATCTGAGGGGCAGAAAGTACAAATAGAAAAAGAGGAGGTTGAGGTCACTGGTGACCTTTATAAACAAAGATTTAATAGACAGGTAGAGCTAATAACCAGATTGAAAGTAGCAAGGATATAGAGGCAATATATAAGATTCTTTTTTGAAATCTGAAGCAAAGAGGATGGGACATAGCAGGATCATGAGAAGGAAGTGCAATAGGAAAGCAATTCTTTGAACATTTTAGTTAATGCAGTTGCAAGAGAAGGTGGAGTTAATTAATGAAACAAGGTCCTGAAGAAGAGAACTTTTCACCACCAGAAAAAACAGTAACAAATGGTATCAAAGAGAACACATATAAGATAAGAAATATTTCTTCCTATTAACTAAAAGAAAAGTCAGAGGGTTGTGTTATTAGCAGAGGAGATAATATACTAATAATCTGAGATTATGTGAACAGTGTAAAATAAGGCATAAGACTGGAAGAGAATGGATTTAGATCTAGTAAGTGAAGCTCTAGAGCTGCTTTGGGAGCAGAGAAAGACTAAATAGCTTGAATTTACAGTAAAGATTTTCTCTAGTTTCCTCACCAAGTGTGATGATTTAAAAACAAACAAACAAAAAAAAAGACCAGGAATTGAGAATAAACAAAACAAAGGCAGGAAAAGTATTGGACAGGGCATTTTAAAGGTCTTAAATGCCCTGATAAGAAATTTGTGAAGTAATTAACCATGACTATCTAAAGGATCAAATGAAAGTATTAAGGCTGGGTGTAATCTGGGAACTAGTGACTAAAGAACAACTGCATTAGGCATTAAATATAAGGAAATTATACAAAAATAAGAGATTCATGGGAAGAGTATTTCAATATTCTAAACCTTAAAAGAGGCAAAGTGATGTGAGGAATTCATGGTGTGGATTTGGTTATGGGTTAATAAAGAAAGGTTAGATATATATGTTATTTGAATTGAAGCTGAGAAACTTCAAGGTCACAATGCTATAAAAGCATTAATGCTTAGACTAGATCCTCAAAAATGACAGCAGGTATGATTTATAAGTTCCATGAGTTAATGCAAAGAGACTAACAATAAATCTTTTTGAAGGGGCATTTAGTTGGAAGGATTTAGGAGAACTTAATTAGCAAGTACTACATGTACATTTTGAAAATGACATATACTCCATAATGAGGCTAGTTTTTTTCTTTAACTTTTAGATGTGAGCTCTGGTAGCTCAATGGATTGGGCCTACAAAAATGGAATACCCTACACATTTGCTTTTGAGCTTCGAGACACGGGACATTTTGGATTTTTACTCCCAGAGGGGCTCATCAAACCCACCTGTATAGAGACCATGCTAGCTGTGAAGAATATCACAATACATCTGCTGAAGAAGTGTCCCTGACTTGGTCCAAGGGTCAACAGAGAGATAACTCTAAGCAAGGACAACTTGGCTGTGGGTGGAAACTGCATTTAAAGAGAAGAGCAACTGTTTAATTGGACATTAAAGAGACCTCTCATGCAATTCAACTTGCCATGTCAATAAAATATGGTTATAAAATTAGAATATAATTGAGTTTGTTTTAAGGGAAAACATCCTTTTTATAACCTTGAGTCTTACTTGGTTAAGGTATTTTTTAAATATTTTTGTCTCAAGAACTGTGCAAATGTTGAGCGTTTCACTTCAATAAATTCTCACTTAAAAATCTAAGCTATTAATGATGTATAATCACTTGTTTCCCATTTGAAATGAAAGGAACAATATTTCTTAAGATAATATACAACTTATTAAGATCTTGGATTATATGTATCTTCATCTGCTGACATTAGTACACCATATACCTATAAGCATATAGCAGGATAAAGCAGTACACATTTAGATTAAGAATACCACTTTTTAAAAAGCAGTATACATGAATTGAAGTGACACTGTTAAAAACTTCATCCTAACTAAGGTTGAATATAATTGATGTATTTATCTTGAGAGCATTTGTCTGCACCACAAGTGTAGATTTGATTTTTACAGTTTAGGGATTGAGACCAGAGAGCAAGCCAAAGGTTACTCCAAGGTGGAAAGTTATGACAGCAGGTCTACTAGAATTCTAGGACTCCAAGGGCTACCCCTTCTGTGTAAGGGCCAATTACAAGTTAAATCCCCATCCTCCTTCTAAAAGATCACAATGAAAGTTGACTATTTCATTTTGAGCAAGAGTAGAGAGGACGCAACAGCCAATGAGAATTTGGAAACAAAGTCAGCGCTTATACAGGTTTGCAGCCCAAATTCAAACTACCTAAATAGGCTGATAAAACTCTAGCCAAGAATTTAATTCAGGTTAACCCTAGAGTGGTTATACACTCTAAAAATTTGATAGAAGCAAATAAAAACCTTTCAGGATTTGTCCAGCCAAGATGCATGCTGAAGTCCAGGATAAGACATGCCAAAAGAAAAGGAAAAAAATAATCACAGACAAAGGAGTAACTTTTCAGGAGAAATTCTATCTTAAAAATCTACACCCAGGAAAACTCGGAATGAAATGTAAGGGTAGACTATAGACAAATTTCATAACAGTAAGGTCCTAATTAATTTACATTTCTTAGGAAATTCCTGAAGTTGATGTTCTACCAAGTGAGAGAGAAGATTAAGAGAAGGACACAAGACTCAGGAAAATAGAAAGACGTTGTGGGTGGAGTGTTATCAAGACAATGGTGAAGGGGAAAACTCCCAGAACAATTGTAAGACTTGAACATCTAACATGGAATAGGAGGAGAAATTAAGACTTCAGATAAAATTGTCCATCACAAATAAAAAGCAAAGCATTTAAACGCATTCAAAAGTGATTTTTTGCTTTTACCGGAATATTGGGAATAGACTAGTTATAAAAGCACAAGAATCCAAGCTAACCAACAAAATGCAACTATTACTCTGACAATAACAGTATTCATAAGAAATATAATCACAGTATGCAATGTGATAATTTTAAATACAAAATGTTATCCCTATATATTGATTTAACCAAAATATTAAGATATAGACAGAGTAGAAGAAATAGATGTATGTGAGACGGTAGTACCAGGGAGCTAAATCCCTATTTCCTTAAAAGAAAGTTAACAGGGCCCTCCCTGGTTGCACAGGGATTTGGAGTGCAGCACTGCGAGCTGGTGGTGGCCACTCATGAGAGTTCAGTCTCTGGCCCTGGAGGTGATCCACTCGGCACTGCAGATCTCTCCTGACCCACTCGCTGCTCCCCTCAGCAGTGTACTTCATTGATCTGCCTGCTCTGCTCCCCACTCTGTCTCTGGTGAATCCTCTCACTGCCCCTGCATCTCTGGCCTGTACCCCAGTTCTATATGCATAAATAAATACTTGTTTTATAATATAAGAGTTTATATTTTTTCCTTTTCTTTCTGGCTTATTTCATTAAGCATGACCTTTCCCAGCTCCATCCATGTTGCTGCAAAAGGCATGTGTTTATAAATAAATATATTTTTTTAAATAGAAAGTTAACAGGCAATATTCAAAACTGAAAAGTAGTGTCAGTATATGCATGTTATTTACAAATAAGTACTAGAAAAAATCATTTAAAGATTGTGAATTTTCGTAATAGTAAAAGGAAATTGGCAGAAAGGAATGATGGCATAGGGGACTGCTTTTTCAAATATGACATTTGTCACATCAGATTGGTTTTTTCTAAATTTGAAAAACATTATCTGAAGAGAAGTAATTTTTTAAAATGAACTCCCACCTACTCTTTTTGATGTTGTGTACTACCAGGGAGTATTAGTTTTGTGTGTTTTACAAATCTAATTTATTTTTCTTGTAGTCCGGTCACATATTTGTGAGAATGGATCTCAGACAAGTTGAGGTTTGGTTCTGCTATAGAAATAGTACAGCTAATTTAAATTTCAGTTTATATGATCTAGCAGTAAATGTTCAGAATTGATGAGGATAAGGGTTTATTTTATACTAGTATTTCTACCAGTAATACAGTCAAAAACCAAACTTTTGAAAACTACCAGGGAGGCTAGAAGCTAAAAAGCCCTCAAAGATGGGAAGGTGTTACCTCTAGATGCACACAAGTGGCTAATCTTTTGGGCTGCATGGACCCAAGATGGCTGAAGTTCCCCATGTGGGAGGGTGTATGTAGTCTCCGCTCTTTCAGCAAGCTGTCCGTGTCCAGATTCTTTATTAGCAGTCTATCAACATACTAGCTGTAATAGTTTCTTTATGGTCTATATATAGATTCAAGATGTAATTCTGCCTTGATGAACCTAATGTAAATTATTTTCAATGATTACTCTCACGTTCAGTATTACATATGTACATATGTATACGTACATATATTGCCTCAAATTGTGAGAATTTTAATATTTATGAGCTATTTTCATTTTTCTTTTAAAACTAAAGCATAAGATATGATGTTGGATGACTTTATTCACAACACTTCACTAGGCAGTGTGTGTGAGGAGGGGTGGGAGCAAAAAGGGTTAACTTTATGTCAGTATTTGCTTAGGGATGTATAAGTTAACTTCAAACTAAAAATAACACCTGTATTTTTAAAAATAGTTTAGAAAGATACTTTCACACATGAACACATAATTATTAGTAATTAGATTCCAGTTTTATTGAATAGCAGCTCTCAACTTAGTTTTAGTTAAGTGTTTTAGTTTCATATGGCTACCCTAACAAAGTACCACAAATTGAATGATTTAAACAGAAATTTGTCATCTCACAGTTCTAGAGGACAGAAACCCAAAAGCCTCTGTCAATATGGCCATGTTCCCTCTGAAATCTATTGAGGAACCCTCCCTCACCTTGTGCTCCACTCTATTTTCAGCAACTTTTAGCATACCTTGGCTTACAGGGACATAACTTCAAACATGCCATCCTCTCACATGGACTTCTCCTGTATACCCATGTCTTCACATGATACTCTTCTTTTAAGAACACCAACTTATATTGGATTAGGGGCCTACCCCACATCAGTATGACCTCATCTTAGCTAATAACATCTGCAATGACCCTTTTTTGAATGGGGAGAGCAAAACTTAACCCATAACATCCAACAAACATGAGATATTGATGCTAACATGACTGTTTATATAATCAAAAAATGATGAAACTTGCTTAAATTTAACCTTGTGTTTATAAGGCTAAATGTTGATGAATAAATGCAAAGATAAAAGTTATTTCCTAAATTCTAACATTCCCAATGAGATTTTGTAATCAACCATTAATGGAAGCTGAATGATCTATTCTCTACAGTCTCCTTTTTAATTATTCTTTTTAAATAATAAAATTATTTCTTAACATAGGAAATTTGTTAGTATTAGTTGGAGTCATATATTACTATAGCACTCTGATTATTTTAGGCTCAAGCATCATGAAAAATATTAACAGCTAAATTACACTAGATTAAATCTAATTGATTAAATCAGATTTCTATGCCATCTTGATTAAGGTATGCTGTAGATTAAACAAATTATATGAGTGAATGTATTTAATAGAATATTTTCATGAATCAGAATATTACATAATAAACCTGAAAACAGCTACACTGAATATTTAATATATATTTCACAAAACACATTGCACTGGTAACTGCTAAGAGATCTGAGTAATTCACTTGAAAATAAAGACAACTTGAAGATCTTTTAAAACTGACTCTACTTTGTCATGCACCACAGATCACCCCACTGGATTTCTGTAGTTATGACTTCTAGGACTACTTTCTCTTTCCCCAGTGGATACCCTGTGGGTATCTGCCCAGGGCACCTATCCTGCATCACTGAACCAAGCAAGTGAGAGAAACACATCAAATTTTAATTCAAGATGTCATGATGTATAGACTCTACAGTACAATTCAATTTATAATTTAGTTATGAACTAAACAAAGAGGATATCTTCCACATAAAACTGAAACTGTTCTAAGATTCAAACTCAATCAAGAATAATTGCTTCCCTAGTTGGGTAGAATTTAGAAGGTAAAAGGAACACCCAGATCTTCATTAAAGTGAGCCAGCAGTCTAGTGTACATATTCTGGAATAATTTGCAATGAACAAATGACTAGTTTAATGTTCAGTTATTGAATTGTTGTATTTTTGGCAGAAGTACAGATTCCTGCTATCCTAGTAGAAGTCTTCAGTAATTTAAAGTTATTTTCAATATTTGAAGGGAGATTGCTATCTTCTAAGCAGAAATTGTGTTTGGTAGATGTGTTTAGGTCCAACTGTCTGTTACAAGAAATATCGGTCTGAAATGTTGTGTAAGGTTTTCACTTAGTAGAGCAGCAAACGTAAGCAGACAATTTAGTGGTTTAATGCCTGGGTCAGAATTCCATAAAAGAATGAATATTTGACATAAGTGTCACTGTGCCTGGCATAGACTATCATGAAAATACAGGAGG